ACCTTCACTTCTCAGGTTACCACCCACCCCCTCTGGATCCACTTCACGTGGACCAAGTTATTTACACAGGATCCCCCCCTAGAATGCACACCCCTGGAGGGCAGGGACTGTTTTTACTTTTCTTTGTATCTCCAGCATTTAACACAGTGAATGGCATAAGAGAAAGTACCTAACATATGTTTGTGGGTGAACTAAGACCTATCAATTTGGAATTATTCTGCCAAAGTGCCTAGCGATCCTATTATTCAGTTGTTGCAGGCCAGTGGTTCCGGTCTGGGTTGGAACAAAAGGAGCCGTTGGCAGACCGTCTAATAATAAACAAAAGGTGGTTTACTGAGCTCTAGCAGTGAGGATCTGGCACTGGTTTGGCTGGGCACACCCTCCTCGGCCCTGGGTTGACTGTGCTGGGCCCTGATCCCAAGCCTGACTGAGGAGCTCCTCGTGTCCAAGCTTTTCATGGAGGCCACCAGAAGTCAGCAGCTTGGGCTTAGTGTCCTGGGCCAGCTGAGTCTCCAGACTTTAAGGGAAAACCCAGCCCGGCCTGTGGAAGGTAGGGTCTTCAGACAATGCTCCTACGGCACGGACTACGGCACTCCATTAAAGTCAAAGACAGAAACAAGGGTCCAACACGGACCAAGACAGTCAAAGCAGATTCGTCGTAGTAGAACCAAGAGCTGGAATGGAGGTGGCTGTTTATCAACTGGACAGTGGCTAGGAATTATGGCATGTGAATATCACGGAATACTGCGGTATGGTAAGAAATCATTAGTCTGAGGAATTCAGAGAAACGTGGGAAGATTTGTCTGCACTGATGCTGAGCAAAGTCAGCAGAGCCCAAAGACAACGCACAACGATTACGACAGTGTAAACAAAAAGATTCCCCAAAGGAAGGCGGGCTCTGAGAAAACGAATGATGTTCACAGAGAACAGATCATGTGCCATAGCTCTTTCCTCATGGTGGAGGAGTGGGGACCACCAGGTCAGAGTGCTGTATACATTACAATGTGATCACTGCCTGGGATGTTTTTGCTTAATTGTTCAAGGAGGATTCAAGCTGGCGGAGAGTGGGGAGGATATAGCGGCTTCTCCCCAGAAATGGCTGTGATGTCAAGACAAAATGCATCCCCAAAAGAGAATTTTAAATATGGAATAGTAATAATAAAAGAAACAAATAGACCAGTCGGTAGCGTTATGGCAACAGGCACAACTTGAAGAGTGGCTACGGGTTTGAGAGAAAGGGTTTTTCAAATGCTCCCAAATGCCCTCAGGCCAGTGGGGAGTGATTTGTGTCATGAGAGTCTCTGACTCTCAGGTTCCCCAAACAGCCCCACTGTGCCCCAACATCATCCAGACACTGCAGAACAGAACAGCACAGACATCTGTGAGATAAGTCAGCCCGGACAGGGAGACAGAGGAGTGGAGAAAGGTTGTGGACGCCAGGAGCCGGACAGTCCAGGCTTACTTACGATGCCATGCTTTTGTAACAGGTCAATGTCTTGAAACAATGATTCCTAAAGGCAAATGGGGCAAAAAGGGGAGAATGTGGGTTACTCCTCTAGGCAACTAGATTTCAGTTCTGCTCATCAACATATTCACACCATGTATCAGCTAAGAATGACTCCAATCCACCCTCCATGGGCAGCTGAAGGGGAGGACAAATACGGTTTCTCCTCTGTTCCTTTTCTCAAGGGTGATCTTGGGAGGAACACAGACACTCAAAGTGCACCCCTGTCCCAGGGCCCTTTTTTTCTTCTCCTTCTTTCCTTCCTTCCTTTCTTCTTTCTTTCCTTCTCCT